TTCTATTTTTTTAATTGCCTTGTTTTTCTTATTGAGTCTTGAAATCTAGGCTATCTCTTCAGTCCCAGGACCACAGGTCTTTTACATAACTACCATCCCAATGATTTTTTTCAGGGCCCTCTTTATGTCTTTGTTCCTCAGACTGTAGATGAAGGGGTTCAACATGGGTGTGACCACAGTATACATCACCGAGGCTATTGCACTGGAGTGTGAGCTGTAAGTAGCAGCAGAGCTAAAGTACACTCCTAGGACTGTACAATAGAATAAGGAGACAACTGAGAGGTGAGAGGCACAGGTGGAAAATGCTTTATACTTCTTTTTAGTTGATGAGATTCCATGTATGGAGGAAACTATCTTAAAATATGAGTAAAGGATACCAGAAAGGGAGACACCACCTAGCAACCCAGCTGCAAAATACATCACCAGGTCATTAAAAAAGGTATCAGAACAAGCAAGTTGGACCACCTGTTTGATTTCACAAAAAAAGTGAGGAATTTCCAAGTGTGTGCAAAATGACAGCCACATTACCATTAAACTTTGTAGCAAGGAATTCAGGATACTCATGATCCAGGACACCAAAACCAACAGTCCACAGTTCCAGGGCTTCATGATGATCATGTACTGCAAGGGATGGCAGATGGCCATGAAGCGGTCATAGGCCATCACAGCCAGGAGAGAGTTGTCTAATCCAGCAAAGAGCAGGAAGAAGTATATCTGGGTGATACAACCATTATAGGTTATTACTTTACTCTGTGTCCCGATGTTCTGCAGCATCTTGGGGATGGTGGTGGAGGTGAAGCAGATGTCAACCAAGGACAGGTTGGAGAGGAAGAAGTACATGGGCGTGTGGAGGTGGGGGTCTAGGCTGACGGCCAGGATGATGAGCAGGTTTCCAAATACAGTGATCAGGTACATGGAGAGGAAAAGGCCAAATAGGAGGGGCTGCAGTTCTGGATCCTTTGATAATCCCAGAAGAAGAAATTCTGAAATTCGTGTATCATTCCTTGGCTCCATATCATGAAGGAGACTACCAAGACATGAAAAATAGCATTTAGTTTTCCTTAAAATGGGTATTACAAACACAGCAAAGTTTTGCAATTTGTATTTTTCATTAAAAAATGAATATCCACTCGAAGACACAGAAACAAAGAGAATTAAAAAAGAAAAAGAAAGAGAAGTAAAAAGGAAAAAGAATGAAGAAACGCTTCAAGAGCTATCTGACACCATTAGGAAA